AAGAAAGTTGTGTCACTCCAGCCCCGAGCATACAGCCATAATACCAATTCAGATGTCTTTCCAAGAGTCCCCTGAATGGCAGGTTGTGGCGTGTTGTTGTGGGTTCTTAAAAAGATGGCATGAGTTGAAAGTTTTCTACAAAAAGGATGCCTTTTGCTCATATCCCAGAGGAAAGGACCGGCATATATCTAGATGAAGTATCTGTCTCCAAACAGAGAGTCCCAACGGCGGAGAGATCACGATCATGTATTTTCAAGTGTTTGGAAATATGCATGATGTTTGCTCGACTGTCAAACCTCAATCCATTTAAAAAATACAGCAGAATGTGTCGGGGAGGATAGCATGCCACAATTGCAAACACACAAGCCTAGATTCACATCAGTGTCTTCTGCTAAAGAGATTTGGTGGACCACAGAGAGGGCACTACACAATCTAGCAACTCTGGGTGCATCTACACTGTGAGATTAATGCAGTATGACACCACTTTAAATGAAATGGGTCAGTGCTATGGAGTAATGGGTTGTGTAGATTTACAAGGTCTTTAGCCTTCTCTGTCAAACAATGTTGGTGTCTCGACAAACCACAACTCCTACAATTCCATAGCATTCAGCCTTGGCAGTTCAAGTGGTGCCAAACTGCCTTAACTGTGCAATGTAGACACATCCTCAGTCTCTAATCTTGTCAAGAAGGAGACAAATATTCTGTTTTATTTATTGGGAGTGGAAAACTCATCCATGACCTTCACCAAACATGATGTCAATGATCTACCCAAACAAGAAAGGTTCAGAAGTTGAAGATGAAGCCAGAAGTTGAAGGAGATGGTCAGATTTTGCCAGAAGGTGAAGATGAAGCCAGAAGTTGAAGGAGATGGAAAGGACAGGTCTCCATCTCAGAAAAGAGGTAGAAGCGGAGGACAAATGGTATGGCTTTGGGAAGACATTGCTGGGGATTATCACCAATACATGCTGGTGATCCTCATTGGAAACAACCCAGGATGGTCTATTATTATATTAAGTTACACTGCTAGTTGGGCCGTTTTGTTCTGGCAACTCTTTCTAAGACTTGCGCTTTCTCTCTCCTATTTTTCTGATTTTGGTTGTTTTTAACCAGCAACTTCAGAGTCTGATGGAACCTCCATCTCTGGTGGCTTATAAACAGAACTTGGATGGCTATCTGTCAGGAGGGCTTGGATTGTGCACATCTGCCTGGCAGAAGGGATGTTGACAGGATAGTCCTAGGGGTCTTTTCCCAACTTATTATTTGAAGGCTTTTCAAAAAAGGTTTGATGGCCATCTCTCAGCAGTAGAGTTTCTCAACCTTCCTAATACTGCAACCCCTTGATACAGTTCCTCATGTGGTGTGGTGACCCCCCAACCATAACATTGTTTTCACTGCTCCTACATAACTATAATTTTGCTTCTGTTATTAATCATCATGTAAATATCCGATATGCAGAATGTATTTTCATTCACTGGAGCAAATTTGCCACAAACACCCAATGCACCCAAATTTGAATACTGGTGGAGTTGGGGGCAGATTGATTTTGTCTTTTGGGAGTTGTAATTGCTGGGATTTATAGTTCACCTACAATCAAAGAGCATTCTGAACTCCATCAACGATGGAAATGAACCAAACTTGGCACACAGAACTCCCATGACCAACAGAAAATTCTGGAAGGGTTTGGTGTGCATTGATCTTGAGTTTTGGAGTTGTAGTTCACCTACATCCAGAGAGCACGGTTGACTCAGACAATGATGGATCTGGACCAAACTTGGCACAAATGCTCAATATGTCCAGATGTGAACACTGGTGGAGTTTGGGGGAAATAGACCTTGACATTTAGGAATTGTAGTTGCTGGGATTTATTGTTCACCTACAATCAAAGAGCATTCTGAACCCCGCCAATGATATAATTGGGCCAAACTTTCCACACAGAACCCCCATGACCAACAGAAAATACTGTGCTTTCTGGTGGTCTTTGGTAACCCCACTGACACCCCCTTGTGACCCACCCAGGGGTCCCGACCCCCAGGTTGAGAAATGGTGGTCAGGAGGGCTTGGATTGTGTGTTCCTGCATGGCCAAATGGGGTTGGACTGGATAGCCCTTGGGGCCCCTTGCAACTCTCTGGTTCTATTGTAGTTCCTTTGGACTACAGAGCATTTTTCACTTGCCCTCAGCTACACCTGAATGCAGACTTCCATGGGACCAAGTGGAACTTTTTCCCCAAAGGAGATGGCAGTTGCTCAGCCTCAACCCCATGCCAACTGGTTTAGGAGTTAAGTCCTTGGCATTCAGTTGGGTTTGTGCCCTCAAGCAGGTGTTTACGGTGGCAACCACAGCACCAGGTTCTACAAAATTGATCAGATTCATGGGATAGTGGTGACAATGGACCACAAAGTCATCCTTTTATACAGTACAGGAACCAGACTTCTTCAAAGGGAAACCTTTGTGCCTGACGAATCTCACGCTTCCAAATACGCATTCAGGGCTATTGTTGATTTGACTGGCGGGCGAAAACACAGCATTAAAATTGTGCAGAATTTATGGTGCCAGTTCCTCCAGGTATGTGACTGGTTGAATTGTGCATGGTCAATGCAGATCTGTGTTTGGAAATGCACATTACGTTTATCCTGATGTGACATTTTCTGGGTTTAGGGCTCTCTAGTTAAGGGTGAACTACAACTCCCAGAGCCAAGGTCATTCACCCCCAAACCCCGTATTTATATTATGTGTATAGGTAAGATATAGTTATTGATCTATCACTTTTTAGAATGATTGAAATACATATAGAGGAGGGTTGTAATAACCGGGATTTAGTTCCCGAACCCAAAAGCCAGATCAGAATGAACAACTCCACATGGACTGCCAAGATCTTGTTCAATTAGTGGCTTTTAAAGGAAACATTGCTCACTGATGGGTCTATGGACTGCAATAAATGTTGTTGTTGTTGTTATTGTTGTTGTTGATATAAATGTTATACCAACTTTAATGCTGAATAAATGGAAAGCCCATGAGGACTGAAGAACCTTGTCTAAGAAAATCCAATGCAATGAATGTGGCTGCCATAAGTTGACAGGCAACCTGAAGGCATCGACACACACAAGATCTGACCTTGGTTCCTTTTCCGTAAACGCTGCAGGCTTAAACTCCCAGAACGTGAGGAAGAAGTGCCTATTGGGACTACCTGGCTGAGCTGGTTGGGGGATTCTGGGAGGGACAACCCAAGCCTAGAAGGATTGCCAAGGAATCCCAAATGCTGTCGGCTCCACTTCAGAGGAAGGAACTGGCAAAACCATGTCCAGGTATCTCTTGCCCCTAGGTCAAGCCTACAAAACTCAAGGAGTTGCCCTAAGTTGACAGCCATTCGATTCTGTTGGAAGTTGAGGTTCTAGTGACACTTTCCAAGCTGATTTCTTTCAGCGTAAACATTGCAATTCTGCATAGTTTGGCTAACTGTACCATTTTTTCTGCTGAAACAATTCTAGCATATAAACTTTGGAATTTTTTTTTTCACGTAGAAGCGACTTGAGAAACTTCAGGTCATTTCTGGTGTGAGAGAATTGGCCGTCTGCAAGGACGTTGCCCAGGGGATGCCTGGATGTTTTACCATCCTGTGGGAGGCTTCTCTCATGTCCCTACATGAGAAGCTGGAGCTGAGAGATGGGAGCTCACCCCGCTCCCCGGATTTGAACTGCCGACCTTTCGACTTTGGAGTTATACCAGTTCCTTCAGCCATCAGAACGGGAAAAGTAGAGACAAGGATGAAGAGCGAGGGTTAAGAAGTCATAGCAAAAAGTCATCTCACTAAGGAAGGAAGGAGAGGGAAGGAAGGAAGGAAGGAAGGAAGGAAGGAAGGAAGGAAGGAAGGAGGAAGAAGAAAAAGGGAGAGAAAAAAGGAAGGAAGGAAGAAAGAAGCGAGAGAGAGAGAGAAATGAAGGAAGGAAGAAGGGGGAAGGAAAAAAGGAAGGAAGGAAGGAAGGAAGGAAGGAAGGAAGGAAGGAAGGAAGGAGAAGAAAGAAATTTGTGGGTGAGAAAAAGGAAGGAAGGAAAATGGAAAGAAAGAAAACAATGTGTGGGTGAGGAAAAAGAAGGAAGGAAGGAAGGAAGGAAGAAAGGAAGAGCGAGGGTTAAGAAGTCATAGCAAAAAGCCATCTCACTAAGGAAGGAAGGAAGACAGAAATGTGTGGATGAGGAAAAGAAGGAAGGAAGGAAGAAATTTGTGGGTGAGAAAAGGAAGGAAGAAAGGAAGGAAGGAAGGGAAGAAAGGAAGAAAGAAAGAAAAAGAAGAAAAGAAGAAAGAAAGAAGGAAGGAAGGAAAAAAGAAGGAAAGAAGGAAGGAAGGAAGGAAGGAAGGAAGGAAGGAAGGAAGGAAGGAAGGAAGAAGGAAGAAAAGAAGGGAGAGAAACAGATGAGCGATGAAGAAAAGGTGGTGGAGGAAGAAGTAGAGGAGGAGGAGGAAGGAGGAATGGGAGGAGGAACTAGGCACATTGGGGAGGATACATGAAGGAAGGAAAGAAAGAAAGAGGAAGGAAGGAAGGAAAGAAAGGAAAAAAAGAAGGAAGGAAGAAGGAGGGAAAGAAAGAGAAGAATGGGTGAGAAAAAGGAAGGAAGGAAGGAAGGAAGAAAAGAAGGAAGGGAAAGGAAAAGAAATAAATGTGTTGGTGAGGAAAGGAAGGAAGGAAGGAAGGAAGGAAGGAAGGAAGGAAGGAAGGAAGGAAGGAAGGAAGGAAGGAAGGAAGGAAGGAAGGAAGATGGAACTTTGTGGCCCTGCACTTTCGGATCTCTCAGCGGTGGATTCACTATTTGTTGAGCCACATGTGTAAATACTAGCCTGCAGAAATCTGCCTCTAGCAATGTTTAGTTTTCTTTTTTAGGAAAGTCAACACAAGTTCCTGACAGTGCAGGCTCTCTGCTTGAGGGGCAGGCCAGGCTTGCTCACCCCAGGAGCATCCCCAAAAGAGAGAGAAAGGCAGGCCGAGGGGAGGGCCACTCACTCACCACAGCGTAGACCGAACTCAAGAGGGAGCAGCAAACCATCAGCCCCAAACTGTGGCAGAGCAGCAGGGAGGGTCCCATAGCCAAGGCGAGAGGGTCCCAGTCACATCCACGGGCGAAAGAGTAATCCTGGGGCGCTTTGGGAAACCGGTGCGAAGCCCCCCGAATCCCTGAAGTTGTGGGGAGAAGAGAGCAAGGAGCAACCCCCAAGCTAGAAGGCCAGGCTTTGGCCCAAGGCTTTGGCCCGCTTCCTCATGGCGGAGAGTGTTGACAGCCCCCCAAAAGCAGCTCAAAAGGAGGAAGGGGGAAGGAGGAGAGGGTCCATAGGGTGGGGGGACCCCGGTGAGGCTCCCCAGAAGAGATGCTGCAGGAGGAGGAGGTAGTGGTGGCTGCCTTCCTTCAGGGCGCACATGGGTCCCACAGCCAGGAGGGGAAAGCGCAATCACATCCACATGTCCAAGCTCCAGCTCTTCTCCTCCTCCTCCTCCTCTTCTTCCTCCTCCTCTTCTCCCTTCTTCTTTTTCGAAAAGGGAGGCAGTGGGGAGGGAAGTTCAAGCCCTTTCTTTGTCAAGCCCAACACCCCCAAAAGGGGAGGGACAGAGATGTGAGGACAGGAGGGGAAAGGAGGAGAAGAGAGAGAGAGAGGAAGGAAGGAAGGAAAGAAGGAGAAAGAAAGGAGGGAAAGGAGAAGGGGGGAAACAGATGTATTTTTAGCTCAGCTTCCCCGCAAAAGTCTGAATTTTGCAAAAAGGCGGCCGCGGATGCAAAGGTGGGACTTGGAGACACGTGTCCGCTTGTGTCGGGATTCAGACGTTACCCTGCGCGCTGGGAGGCGAGTCTCTTCATGGATGGAGAGGGAGCCGAGTCCTCAAGTTCCCTGCTTGTCTTTCTTTCTCTTCCCAAAGGGTCTCTTTCAACATCTGGGCGAAGAAGGAGAAGGAGAAGGAAGGCGTGGAGTCCCGGTTCCTCTCCAAGGAGCGCCTTTGCTTTTTTGGGAAGATGGAAGGAGGAGGAGGCGGAAAGAGAGAAGGAAAGAAAGCAAGAAGAGGACTCCTTCTCCTCGGACTTTCCTCTCCGGTTCCTGGCCTTTCTGGGGGGCTCTCCAAGGGGAAGGGATCTGCAAAAGGCTGAGGGGAAAGCGAGGCGTCCAGGGAGTTGTTTCGCCTCTTCCTCCTCCGCTTGGTTTTTTACGCACAGGCTTCCCCTTTTCCCCCCTTCCTCTTCTCCTTCTTCTTTTTTTCCAGCGGCGCTGACAGTTCTGTTGACTTGCCCCCAGCGCCTTCCAAAAAGGGGAGGGAGGGGTGGCTCAAGAACGGGGGAGCGGGGAGGAAAAGGAGAGAAGGAAAGTCGGCTCCCGGAGTTGGAGAAGGAGAAAGGAAAAAAGAAGGAAGAGGAGGAGAAAAGGGAGAAGGAGGAAAAGGAGGAGGAGGACAAACCGCGGCTCAGTCTCTCCAGAAGTCCGTCCGAATGGGAAGCCAGAGGGAGCGAGGGAGAGAGCGAGGGATGGAGGGAGGAAAGAAAAAGGAGAGATGGAAGAACGGAAGGGAGGAAAGAAAGGGAAGGAAGGGAGGTAGGAAGGAAGGAAAGGAGGAGAAGGAAGGAGAAAAAGAAAGGAGGGAAGGAAAGAAGGAAGGAAGAAGAAAGGAGGAGGGAGGGAAAAAAAGAAGGAGAGAAGGAAAAAAAGGAAGGAAAGGGAAGGAAGGGGAAGGAAAGAAGGAAGGGAGGGAGGTAGGAAAGAGAAGGAAGGAAGAAAAGAAGGAAGGGTGGGAAAAGGAAGAAAAAAGGGAGGGAGGGAAAAGAAAGGAAGGAGGGAAGGAAAGAAGGAAGAAAGAAAAGGAGGTGGGTAGGAAAGAGAAGGAAGGAGGGAGGGAAGGAAGGAAGAAAAAGGAAGGAAAGGAAGGAAGGAGAAGGAAAGAAGGAAGAAAAGAAAGGGAGGGAGGGAAAAGGAAGGAGGGAAGAAAGAAGAGAGGGAGGAGAGGAAAGGAGGGAAGGAAAGAAGAAGAAAGAAAAGGAAGGTGGAGGGAAGGAAGGGAGGGAGGAAGAAGAAGGAAGGAAGGAAGAAAGGGGGTAGGAGGGAAGGGAAGGAAGGGGGAAGGAAAGAGGGAAGAAAAAGAAGGGAGGGAGGGAAAAGGAAGGAAGGAAGAAGGAAAGAAGGAGAAAGAAAAGGAAGGTAGGTAGGAAAAGGGGGGAAGGAGGAAGAGGAAGAAAAGAGGAGGGAGGGAAAAGAAAGGAAGAAAGGAGGGAAGGAAAGAAGGCAGAAAGAAGTAAAGGAAGGTAGGTAGAAAAGGGAAGGAAGGAAGATTCCATTTTTCTCATAATAGACCTTTCCTAGCAATCCCATCTCTACAAGCCGCTTTCTCTTGCCAAGTTTCTCTGACGGACCCCAGAGATCATCCAAACCAACTCCAGAAGGTGTTCAGTTGTAACATTCACACCTACCTCAAATAGGCAAGAGTTCATTTTCTCACCCTGGACATCATTCCACAGACATATAAACCTTATTTTCCTATGTTTCCAACAGACCCCACAACCTCTGAGGATGCCTGCCATAGATGTGGGTGAAATGTCAGGAGGGAACATTTCTAGAACATGGCCAGGGAGCCCAGAACCCCGTGTTTTCGGTCATGAAAAACAGAAAACCTAGGATCAGATCCTGGGGTATAGGGCCTGTCTGGAAGGGCCCTGGATATGTAGGGAGTTAGCCATGCACGTCCATATTTCCTCAAAAGTAAGCTGTGCTGTGCGCACACACACACATATAAATCAATAGGTAGGTATACATATATATGTGTGTTTACCTGTCATTCTGTGCCCATACAAACCTCTGTTTTCAATCATTTTATTAAATGTATAGTATCTGGTGGTGCAGCAGGTTAAATTGCTGAGCTGTTGAACTTGCTGACCAAAAGGTTGGTGGTTTGAATCCGAGGAGCGGGGTCAGCTCCCATTGTTAGCCCCAGCTTCTACCAACCTAGAAGTTTGAAAATATGCAAATGTGAGTAGATCAATAGGTACTGCTTCTGCAGGAAGGCAATGGTGCTCCATGCAGTCATGCAGGCCAGATGACCTAGGAGGCGTCTATGGACAATGCCGGCTCTTTGGCTTAGAAATTGAGATGAGCCCCACCCCCAGAGTCAGACACAACTGGACTTAATTTACATTTACTAATATCCTTCTGAGATGCACGTTTTATATCTTTGCTTGTATGTGAATGTCACCTAGACATTATAATTTGGAGAATCCTGAGGTTTCCTCAGCCTAGGTGGACTACCAGGTCTATCATCCACAATGGATTTGGAAAGCATCAGGTGGGAAAGAACTGAATTACAACGTGCTGGGTAAAGGCAGCTGATGAGTGCCAAATAAGTGTTCTATTAATATTATTATTAATAATAGTAGTACTATTATTTTTTATTATTGTTGCTACAGGTTGAGCACCCCTTCTCTGATAGGCTCAGGGCCAGAAGTATTTCCCCAGCATAATTGTCTTCTCTAGGCTTTGCTGTCTCCTCATGATAGCAACTACAACTCCCAAAGGACAAGGTGTACTTTCCCCAAACTCCACCAGTGTTCACATTTGGGTGTATTGAGTATTCGTGCCAAGTTTGGTCCAGATCCATCATTGTTTGAGTTCACAGTGCTCTCTGGATATAGGTGAACTACCACTCCCAAACCCAAGGTCAATGCCCACCAAACCTTTCCAGTATTTTTTGTTGATCATGGGAGTTCTGTGTACCAAGTTTGGTTCAGTTTCTACACTGGTAGAGTTCAGAATGCTCTTTGATTGTAGGCGACACTATAAATCCCAGCAACTACAATTCCCAAATGTCAAGGTCTATTTCCCCCAAACTCCAACAGTGTTCACATTTGGTGAAATATTGAGTATTCGTGCCAAGTTTGGTCCAGATCCATTATTGTTTGAGTCCGCAGTGCTCTCTGGATATAGGTGAACTACAACTCCCAAACTCATGGTCAATGCTCAGCAAACCTTTCCAGTATTTTCTGTTTGTCATGGGAGTTCTGCTTGCTAAGACAATTCCATCATTGGTGGAGTTCGGAATGCTCTTTGATTATAGGTGAACTATAAATCCCAGCAACTACAACTCCCAAGTGACAAAATAAACCCTCCAAGATACCAATGGCCGATCTGATCTCACCAGGAAGGGAGTTCCATAGCTGGGGAGCAATCACCGAGAAGGCCCTGTCTCTTGTCCCCACCAATTGTGCCTGTGACAATGGCGGGACAGAAAGCAGGGCCGCCCGGGAGGATATTAGTATTACTATTATTATAAATTAATAATCTTTATAATATTTACAATAGTAATATTATGAATTATTACTATTATTATTATAAATAATTTTGTGCATGAAGCAAAATTTGAAGCCATTGAACCACTAAGACAGCCCATCGGTTTCTCCTGCGCACTCTTTTGGAATATTTTGGGTTTTGGAAGAAAAGGTGCCCGACTTGTGTTCTTATTACGGTCTATTAAAAACCGGAGCGGTGGCTCCATCCCTCCCCTGTCCCGGTGAATGGATGCCTTGACCAGACTTTATGAAAGGGGTCTCTTTCTCTCCCAGGCCAAACCCAAGGAAGGTTTCCTGTGGAAGAAAGAGAGAGAGAGAGAGAGAGAGAGGCCAAGCAGTGCAGCCTCCCTTCTACGGCTCCTGCAGGCGGAATGTGGAGCCAGAGAGGCAAGCTATAAAAACCCAATGGAGGTCCCTCCCCATTGGCTGGCAGGGCTGCTCATGTGACTCCCAGGCAGGCAACCGCAATCCTGGCCCAGCCACACCTCCCGCCTGAATGGGGACTGGATGTCTTTTGCTCTGGCAATCCAGAAAAGAAGGGAAAGCTCCATGCAAGCACCTTTGCATTTGGATTGCAACTAAACAGACAGGCTATAAGCACTGCAGACGAATCCAACCAGAGAAGTCAGCCACAGTAGAGCACTTGATGAACCAACCTGTGGACAAGTCTACATGTTGTTGTTCATTCGTTCAGTCGTCTCCGACTCTTCGTGACCTCATGGACCAGCCCACGCCAGAGCTCCCTGTCGGCCGTTACCACCCCCAGCTCCCTCAAGGTCAGTCCAGTCACTTCAAGGATGCCATCCATCCATCTTGCCCTTGGTCGGCCCCTCTTCCTTTTGCCTTCCACTTTCCCCAGCATAATTGTCTTCTCTAGGCTTTCCTGTCTCCTCATGATGTGGCCAAAGTACTTCAACTTTGTCTCTAGTATCTTTCCCTCCAGTGAGCAGCGGGCTTTATTTCCTGGAGGATGGACTGGTTGGATCTTCTCGCAGTCCAAGGCACTCTCAGCACTTTCCTCCAACACCACAGTTCAAAAGCATCTCTCTTCCTTCGCTCAGCCTTCCCTAAGGTCCAGCTCTCACATCCGTAGGTGACTACAGGGAATACCATTGCTTTGACTAGGCGGATCTTTGTTGCCAGTCTGATGTCTCTTCTCTTTACTATTTTATCGAGATTGGACATTGCTCTCCTCCCAAGAAGTAAGCGTCTTCTGATTTCCTGGCCACAGTCTGCATCTGCAGTAATCTTTGCGCCTAGAAATACAAAGTCTGTCACGGCCTCCAAGTTTCCTCTATTTTCCAGTTGTCAATCATTCTTGTTGCCATAATCTTGGTTTTTTTGACGTTTAGCTGCAACCCGGCTTTTGCGCTTTCTTCTTTCACCTTGATTAGAAGGCTCCTCAGCTCCTCCTCGCTTTCGGCCATCACAGTGGTGTCATCTGCATATCTGAGGTTGTTAATGTTTCTTCCAGCAATTTTCACCCCAGCTTTGCATTCATCCAGCCCCGCACATCGCATGATGTGTTCTGCATACAAGTTAAAAAGGTTGGGTGAGAGGATGCAGCCTTGCCGTACGCCTTTCCCAATCTTGAACCAGTCTGTTGTTCCGTGGTCAGTTCTGACTGTTGCTACTTGGTCTACATAGTCTACAAGTCTACATAGGGACCACCAAATGCAGCAGCATTGCCCAGACGCGAATCAAGGAACATGAAAAGCACTGCAGACTAACTCAACCAGAGAAGTCAGTTATAGCAGAGCACTTGATAAACCAACCTGGGCCCAGAATATTATTGGAGAACACAGAAATGCTGAACCACTCTGACCACCATCATGTCAGATTACACAGAGAAACCACTGAAATCCACAAGCATGTGGGTTGTTTTAGGGCTGGGCGGTTTCGTTTCGTTAATTCGTAATTCGTTAATAATTCGTTAATTTTTTCAATTACAAAACAATAACGAACCATTCTGGAGCAATTATTAAAAAAAACGAATTTTCAAAAACGTTTTGTAAATGCTTCGTATTTCGATATTGTATTCGTTTCGTTATTGTTTTGAGGTCGTTTCGTTATTATTTCCGCATGTCTGGGCCAGTTTTATGGTTTAATTAGTGAAAAAAAATTATAATATCACACCAACAGTCAACAACAGAGGGAGAGGGAAGCTTCAGAAGGTTTTAGAGGTTTTTTAGCGTATTTCGCGGTCGCGTCCGCCATTAACGAATCGATTCGTTATTGTTTCGG